AAGACCCTGGCAGCCACTTCAGCACCATTTTTAAGCTGCCGATTCTTCAATTGTTAGCTTCGCACTGATGGCATCTACGAAAAGATCCAAAGGTCAAAGATCAACGCTTTCGAACCCACATTGGTCTTAGTAAAGCACACTCCCAAGCAGCACTTCAACAAATGTTAAGGTTTGAGTGTCCCCTAAAAAGTCCCCCGCTCACGACTTTTCAGTCCTTGCGGCGTAGCACCCGTGGTAGCCGATGATCAGGGGTCTACGACGTCAGGGCCGAGGTCCGGACGTAGTGACGAGGCAGTTGACCGATGGCCGAAGGCTTGAATCAGGCCCCGTACGCCGGTGGCAGCCTATGACCAGGTGTCCGCCAAGGTCTGGGCCGAAGAACGTAGCGACGAGGCAGTTGGGCGTTGGCCGAAGGCTTGAGTCAGGCTCAGAACGTCTGTGGCACGGAGTGACAGCGGGTGTTCAACTGCGCCACGCATGCAGTCTTGTCTACCTCCGGAAGGTTGGCGCCCGGACTGCGTGAGAAGTGGGTTGTGGGTCGGGCCTCTTGACGTCTGGTCACGCCGGTGGAGGTCCGGCCTGGTCGCGTCTGCACCGTCCTTTGTCAACCGCCCGAATCCCCTCTCGCGCTCCTCGCATGCCCCCACCGCGTCTTCTTCTTTCTCTTCCTCTTCAGCAGCTGGTCGCGGGATCGCTCATCACACCAGACTAAAGCCTGGTTCAGACAGTTGCGTTTGACTGCGTTTTACTGCGTTGCGGCAGCGAGAAACCAGGACATCCCTGTTGCTTATATAGCGTGCCAAGATGATTCCTTGAATTGGATTCCACGCTTCATACGAAGCACAGATGTGCCGGTGACTCGCTTTCGGTACTCGACGCAACGCAGTCAAACGCACTCAAACGTAAGTGTCTGAACCGGCCTTAAGCCAATCAATTGGCGACGTGCGCGACCGAAAGCGTCGCTGTGGTCGGCCTTTCACGATTGGCCCAAAAGCTGACTATGACGTCGGAAAGGGTATACCATCGACGGAAATAAGAAGAATGAAGGAACTTTCATTTCGACGGTGTTGGCAGTGTTCCTTTGAAAGCGCAATGATTTCAGGGTTCCACCATGCTATTTACAAACACCATCGAACTTGTTGTTCGCAAGGTAATGACGTCACAAGGGGGAACCATAGGAGGGCGCCACCAAAACATCTCGCCGCTAATAACCAACGTTGGTAGGCCACTGGCTAAGACAGGCAATTGGTGGCCAGCTTAAACCAATCGATTGCCAACTTTGGTAACCCGTTGGCTCTATTACAGCTTATATTTCTGAGGGCGTTGTCACTACCGTAGTCAGTACTGCAGTTGCCGTATTTTGTACGCACTTTGAAGTCATTTTTGGGCAAGCAGGCATAATGCTCAGCTTCTTCTGTTATAGACCTTTCCAATGTTTACAAATCCACAGCTCAGCGTGCGATCTCCACAGCTGAGCGCGCGCGTGTGCGTCGCTTCGGAAAGCGAGCAAATCACACGCGATATGCACGAACACTGAAAATGAAACCGGCCAGCAGCCCTTTTCTGGAAAGGTCTATATGTTGCGTGATAACCTTTCTTTGCAGATTGAAATGCGCATCAGCTTTATGTCACCTCCTACCTCAAACACAGGGTGTTTGAGATGTTAATTCAACGCAATTTTTTATTCGTGAAGACATGTAATTGCTTAATCAGTCGCTGGATATTTGTTTAAGGTTTTATTTTTTTGCTAAAATTATTAGTGCTTTTTATTTATTTTTTTAATTTTGTCCGGTTCAGTCTGAATTATAGGCCGCGTTTTGCGGCTCAGCAAAGCGGGTTGCCTTGAGATTTTCAAGATCAGATACACCTGACAATACACCGTGTCCTAGGTTGGGGAGGCGGGTGGAAATTTCGGGGTTGAACCCTGCCTCCCCCCCCCCTCCCCCTTTTTGGAAAGGTTTCCCGGCTGCGTCGCTAAATAAGCATAAGAGAAGAGGCACTATGCTTTTTGCCGTATTAACATATACACAAATCGAAGGAAGCGTGCATTTTGTATTTCGTGTGTAATTTACTAAGCATAACTATCAGTTTTGGGAAGACGCGTGTTAGTTATAGTCGGTGACAGGTGGTAGAAGCTCCTCCCATCTCTTTCCATATTTGTAGATCGAAAGATCAGGAGGAGTCGACCTCCTCCCCAGCGTTTATTTTTAACCTGTCACCGAACACGGTTTTTTTCTGCGTGGACGTTCAAACTTGCTACAGCTCGCAATGCATACATCGTTCTAATTCAGTTGCTAACTTGCTCTGCGTGTGAAAACAGAAGAATCGTTCCCCCCGGAGGCATAGCTAGAGATTGTTCTCAGCGTGCGCGATCAGCACATTAAAAGAACTAAGCCAATTATATATAACATTGGTAAGCCACAGGCTAAGACAGGCCAATGTTGCCCAGCCTAAGTCAATCGATTACCAATGTCGGTAATTGATTGGCTTAAGCTGGCCAACATTGGCCTGTCTTAGCCAATCGATTACCAATGATGGCAACTCATTGGCTAACATAGACCAATGTTGGCCAGCCTAAGCCAATTGATTACCAATGTTCGTAACCAATTGGCTAAGACAGGCCAATGTTGGCCAACCTAAGCCAACCAATAGCCAACGTTGTTAAGGCGTTGGCTGAGGTTGGCCAATGTTGGCCAGTCTAAACCAATCGATTGCCAACTTTGGTAAGCCATTGGCTGAGGTAGGCCAATGTTGGCCGGCCTAAGCCAATCGATTACCAACGTTGGTGAGCCGTTGGTCAAGTCAGTCCAACGTTGGCCAGTATACGTCAGTGTACCACCATATTGGTTCTACGATGGCCACATTGGCCCAATATTGGACCATTGTTTACCAATTGAATACCAATGTTGGCCCGACGTCGTGTGCTGTCTGGGTTCATTGCTAGGAGTCGCTGACGACGCCGGCGTACGAAGCCGTGAGGAGCATCCGACAATCTTGCTCACTTCGACTGGAGGAAAATACTGGGTGGAGACAAGGGCATCTATACTTTGTTTGGGCCATAAAATTGCGTCTTCACTTCTTCCTTCTTAAGTCAAAGGCGAAATGAGAAATCACATGGTCGTGACGTGCTTGGGCACCGGTAGGATAACTTCAAGCTTCCACTGACCTTTTTAAGCGCACCATGGAACTCTTCATTCGCAAGTCATGATAAGTGCCGTCACAGCGCCTACTGGCCACGAACGCGAACCCAGATATTCGTCGACAGGTTGATTGTTTCACGAACGCTTACGTCCGAGTGACGCAGTGCTCGTGTCCAATGCGTAAGCTGAATAGGCTGATGTGCTTTGGGTACCGCGGATGTATCACAGTGAAAAGGCGGAAAGTTTTCGAAGGAAAGGAGGTACGAAGCTCACTTGATATCCTATTAACTATCGAACTCGAAACGATTGCGCAAGAAACAAGCTTTCACTCTAATAATGAATTGATTCCCGCATCGCTGCGGTACCATCCGTTAAATTAACTATCCCGTAGACCGGTATCTTTCAACTTTCGAGAAGCGCCCTTGGCGAGCAAAGTCGGATATTTATAGGCCACGTTTCGGTCGTGCGTCGCGTGGCGTCTTTTCAAACGCTCTGTTGGTGCCTGTGGGCAGACGCGGGGGGCGCTGACAGACGTTTGTTTACGCCCGTGGATAGTGCCTGATGGGACGCTATAGGAGGCCGGTTCACGTTGACAGTAAATGGTCGTGAGTCGCGGACGCTAGCGGAGGTGCCTCTTTTGTGGTCGCATTTCGTGGACGCTACAGCGCCCCCTGGCGGAGAGAAACATGCCTATGGAGCGAAGCCGGCGTTGTCTGTAGCGCCGAAACGGCATCCTAATTCACATTGGCTGCGACGCGTCATGTGGCTCCATAGCAACGACTCCATCGTTGCTAAGGAGCCAGCCAAACTGCTGGCGGCGCAGCAGGAGGGGGAGATGCGGTTAGGCTTTGCCCTGACGTTAGGTCTAACGTTAGGCCTATCGTTACGCTTTAAGATCCAAGGTTGTCAACCGGTACCTTCAGCTAGGGCGATGATTATGATAAGATGATGATGATAAGAGGATACGTGATTTCAGCACGCGCCGCGCCAAGATTCGCACTCCCTCCGCTGCCTCACCCAGCGCGGCGCAGCAGTAACCAGAGAGCCAGGGCGGTCTGGGCGGCGCACCGCCGCACTCCCTGCCGCCTCTGCGGCCGCTTCCTTATGAGTTGTGAATGCGAAAGCGTTCTCGGCGCCGAGAATTCTTTCGCAATCACAACTCATAAGAGGTACTTAGGTGTCCTCAGGATTTTTTACTTTAGTTTCACAATGGTGCCTGGAGCGCATCTCCGAATAATGTATTTAGCGTCCTATCCTGCCCATACATCAAGAGTGGTCCCGGGGTGGCAACAAATAACGCACAGAAGACGGAGTGTCATGCTGTCGGATGTCGCAATCCTGGAGGTTGGTCGTAGAAATGCTGGTGAAAAGTACGAGTGAACGCGAGTGTTGCTGTCGTCGCACTGTCCCAACTTCTGGCTGCCGAAGCTTTTGTGAACTGCTACATTGCAAAGCAATCTGCAGCAGAACAGGCGTCTGCCATATCCAGCACTGCCAGGATCACGGCCGGCGACAGCATAACAAGTGTGCAATATCATCAGGTGGAATTCGAGGGACCACTTTTTTGGGCGTGGTAAACACACAATGTCGAAGACGCGTTCCATGCACCATAATTTTACTAATTCACTTCCCCAAATAAAAAAAAAATGAAATTTGAAAAAAAAAGGAAGAGAAGAACATTAACAGGACGACTGGTCCTATATAGCACTGAGGGAAATGGGAGAATAAAGACAAGTTTGGTAGATCAATTTTCAGCGGTAAATTGCACGTGTGCAGGTTTTTATTTAAAAATAAAATGACTTCATAATGAGAAATGAGATGACTCGTGGCGAATGACATTATTCCAAAGTGACCGGGCGTTCATTGTTGGCCTGAGTTCCTCCGTGTTCGCCTTTGTACCCATACTTTGTTACCTCCTTTATCCTTCACAATAACTTCGTACGCTACATCGAGTTGATCCAGTGGTTCCGAAGACACCATTTTGCACTTGCGAAGGACCTTCGCCATCAGCAGCTTCATCTCCAACATGGCAAATTTCTGGCCTGAGAACCAAAAGAAGATAGCAAAACAGTCAACCAACATCTTTCAACATGGAATACTGTTCAAAAATTGATGTTTAATAAAATGAGACAAATAAGCTAATGATTGCTCGAAAGTTAAAACTAATTTACATGAAGAGAATTATCGAGTCAAACTTCCCAGTAAGTTGAGGGTTGAAAATAGCTAGCACACGTGACATTGAAACGACAGGTAGGCTTGCTTTAAAATCGGCCCAATAGAAATCGCCGGTTAGATTACACGAATAAACTAACAAGACAATGAAAATATATTGTCCTGTTTTCGTCCCTTTCGTTTTAGCTATTCCAATATATATTTTTGAGTTCTTTAATAGAAGACCACACCACAAAGAATGGACGCTGGAAATATTAAGTATTTTCTAAATAACTTGCTATCAGAGGATATAGCCACTGTGACGATGATGCTTGTCCCTCCCTTCGCCAATTGTTTTGAATATTCCTTATCCTGGCCAAGTGCTGACGGAGGCTGCTTCAGCTGGGAGATTCAGAGAAGCGTTTGCGTACCAATGCAGTTCTTGGAGCCGCCAGAAAAGGGAATGTAGCTGAACGGGTGCCGTGTCTTTATCTCCTCCGAGAGAAACCTTTCAGGGATGAATTCCTCGGGATCTTTGAAATACTTCGGGTTTCTATGAAGGCTATAAATGCTTATAAAGCACGTCACACCCTTTGGTATAACGTGGCCCTCTGAAAGAAAAGAAGGGACGAGTATAGTGGCATCGTCAACCAATAATGTTTGCAATGATGAACTTACACCAGCTCGCTTGCGCCGTCCCGTTTTGTTCGTTAAAAAAAGTCTGTAGCCTGTATGTTAATTTTTACCCTCGTGATGTTCAGAGCTAAATGAATGACTGGATTCAGTTGAGTGTATGTTCATCCAAATCGTTGGAATATCTAAGTATCAAATCTCTGTTACGTCCCTGTTCTTCGGCTAAAACTCTGGGTCAGTTTGTTTGCGGAGATTTGCTAAAATATTCACTTTTCTTAAACAACCTGAGATATGGGAGAAAATTAGACAAATCAAAAGGGGAAGAGACAGGACATAATGGCAGAAGACAATGTTGCCTTCTGTCATTCTGTTCCTTTCTCTTCTACATAGATTATTTTCGTTCTCTACCCAGTCTCGGATCGCTTAAGAAAATTGTAAATCTACACAAGATCGCCCTCGCTCATCACTAAGTTTAGCTTCAATTAGACTTGGCACACTCACAAATGCGTTATTTGTGGCATCTAAACAATGCTATTTGTTTAAGCTATGTCCCTACTTTACGTTTAATATAAACAAGCCGTCTACACAGCTAGTCAAATGAATTTGACACTTTGATTCGGGTTTGCTTTGTCTCACTTGCGCTATGGTTTTCTTACCCATTGTCAGTTCTTCGTCAAGTACTCGTCCAATTACGGGAAATGACGGATATAACCGAAGGGCCTCCTGAAATGTTTGATTGCAGTTATCATCAAAGCAAAATTACCATATCAAACAGCTCGTATAACAAAAGAGCAATAGGAAAATCGAACTCGCAAAACTATATCACCCATACCTTTAGACAGCACTCTAAATACTTCATCTGTCGGATTTGGGTCGCTGTGATTTCGCCGTCCGTATCGTTTCCAAATATTTCATCCAGTTCCTCGTGCACTTTTGCCTGGACCTCGGGGTAAAGTCCGAGGTAGTGCAGTGTCCAACACATGCATGTCGTGGTTGTGTCGTTGCCCTGAAATGAACCGAGCGCAATTTGCATTTAGGGATCCATAAAAATCCTGAAGACCTGCAGACTCCTGAAATGGTTAACTGTTCGGCACCGTATGATGCCTTTTTTTCACAATAGAGAGTCTGCGGGTGCTATCTGATGCGTGTTTGTTTCACGTGTCTCAGAGGAGGGTTAAAAGACGACGAGAAGAACAACCCCGGGCTCCTGGACCTGCCACACCGCCATGCACCTTCATCAGCTTTGTAATTATTATTATTATTATTAAAGGAGCGGTGCAACAATATTGAATTGGAATGGTTTTCAATTTAGACGAGCTAACTGGCACTAGTGGGACTCAAGGATACTCGCACGCAACGCCACTGGCCAAGAAACTTTGCTGCGGTGTAATTTCAAGGACAAAAGCGAGCGTTTTCATTGAATTTCTTCTTCGCAAATCTTGATGACGTAACTGGGGGATCGGAATATTTTCCAGTGACGATATTTGAATGCGGCTCATAGATTGGTCCCCCAGCATTGCATGGGCACTCGATTTGGGCTCCTGATAATCGATAGTTCGAGGAGCCTTCGGGTAGTGGCCCGTGACCAATCGCTGCAGTAACGAAAATAGCCGAACCATAACAATGTCTGGAACTCAGCGCCTGTCCTGGGCCTTGCCAACAGCAGCGCGTGGCTATGATCAACATTGGCGGCATATAATCGGCTCCAGATCACGTGGCCGCTTGTTCTGGCTGCAAGTTGAGGGGGTGAACGCTGCTCGTTTTTCTTTAATTTTTTTTTGGTGACTTCGAATGCGTGCGTGGAAAAGTTTCAGGAGTCATTATCGCCTGGGATCCGTCCTAAGCGGTATTTGCACAAAATACAAAAATCTTTGCATCGCCCCTTTAAAAATGATTTTTATTATTATTACTATTATTATTAGGTTTGTTTGTTTGTTTGTCGCCTTTGTTGGGCGGTTCTTTTTCATTTTTGTTTGTTGCTAGTCGAAAGATATGCAATCTTCTGCACCCATCCTACGTGTTTCTTCTTTCGTGTGTAAATTGAATATTCCAAAGAGCCATCTTACCCATGTAACGCCCCGTATTTATTAGTTTACTGCCCCTAACATCTCCCTGACAACCCTGGCACATTGGCCAACAAAAAAGCTGAACGCACACATGTTCGAAACATCCAGATGTATACGGAGCAAACATGTTTCGCACAAGCACATGTTCGGAGATAAATGTGTCACCATGTCTACAGCGAACACTGTGTGTCTTTTGTACGACGTATACGAGAGGTGCGCCCGTGGCTTTAGAGGGGCAAGACAAGCGCGTAGCGTTTACTTACTGCGGCTATGATGGTGTCAATGTCGTTCCGGACGTCACCCAACGTGTAGCTGCTGTCCTGGATATGTTTTCTCAAGAGAATGTTCATCAATGTCGTCTCTCCTCCAGATACCAATTCGTCGTTCTCGGTGTCAGATATCGGGAGGGTATCGGTACATTGTAGTTTGTCTTTTCGCTTCCGCATAACCTGTTTTTTTTTTGTTTTTTTTTTTGAGAAACAAACGCAACGTAATTACGTGGAAACACCAATGAAAGTTGAACTGATGGTTCACGATCACGGGTGCATGAACATTAGTTTGATTAGCGAGGCGCCAAAAATTGCAAATGTTTTCTTAGGATCAATTTTGAATGATGATTTTTTTTTATTAATTTTATGAGCAGACGTATATTGCACTGTGATATAAAGCTGCCATGTCTCGAGACGGATGTCTCGCATATGTAAAATTTACTAGTACTTCTGGCAAATGTTATCACAATCCGTGTTAGGTATTAAACAGTTTCGGGTTTCTCTTCTACATCTATAATAAAGCAATATACGGAAACAATTGGTTCCGCTGTTAAATACTTTTCAAATTGACTAAGTTACGCTAGTACGAATACTTTTCGACTACAGGCACAAACAGGCATCATTAGACGTTTGTCACGCAAAAACGAAACCTTAGTTTTTTCTCTCATCTTGATGGAAGACCTAGAAAGGAAAGTTTCTTACGGAGTAAGTGAATGTCATCATTTTCTGAAGGTCAGCCCTAAATACTTTTCCCTCGCGTGTATTGTCGTAGATTGTTTGGATCCAGAGCCATGGTCTGAAAGCCCTCACAGAAAGTAGAAACATCACTCTGAAAACAAAAAAAGAGAGACCACTTTAAGAATAGGATGCACGTCGTGGAGGGTACAAACTTTATAGAACATAGAACAGAAACCATAGCTTTATTTTCATAAGTAACAATAACTGAAGTACAACTAACGAGCCGGTATAAGCCTCAGGGGTTTGTGTATACCCAGCTTGGCTGGTGGCGAAGTCACGGTGTAATTCAAATTTAGGTTCACCGATTTACACTCAAAAACATGCGTTAGAAGAACTCGAAAATTTTGACAAGGGAAAAAAGTAAATAAACAGGAATAGATTTGATACATGATAACACATTGAAACAGCTGTTGGTAACTCTTTGTTCTAAGTTTAGTAGCTTAAGTTTAGTTCTAAGTTTAGTGCTACGGAAAGCAATGATTCTGGTAGGTTGTTGAAAACATGTTGTACATAGAACATTTGCATAGGCGCGCCACATCTTGCTCTGATGAACGGTACATCGAAACGAAGTGATGGTCTCATTGGTCGCTGCTGTAGATACGGCGTTTTAAACACATAATTCCAGGAGTGCCGGAGGACTGTTTCTTTAAAAAGTCCATAGAAAGCAGGCAGTGAAAGTTCGTGAAAAATGCATAGAAGACCTCTGGCATATCAAACGCAACACATTTCAAGATACCTTTTGGTTAAGAACTTGCTCTGGCGCGCCAAAAAAAGGAAGCAGGCTGAAAATATGGTGAAATTCGTATTGTAAGTAACTATATTCCCATGATTGTGTTATCATTTGTCTAACAAAAAAAGAGCACAAATATTTTGACATTGTAAAGACAACATGACACGCTTCTTATTCGTCTACATATATACATCATGCGAGCACACCATGACAAATCACCGTCGGAGTAAATTCCCAGGTTTCAGTTACGTGCACTATATGAGTAAAACAAGTGAGTCGGTGACAGATTCGCCCAGGAGCGAGTGCACGATTGACTCTCTTCCACTTTTCTACCTTTACATCGCTAATAACAACAGTACAAAACGTGTCTCGCTAAAGGCACCACGTACCGGTTAAAAGCTCTCATGAAGTAAAGATTCTTTTCCTCTTGCAGCTGCAGCTTGGCCCCCATCGTAACTTCTGAAAGCGAAGCAAGATTAAGAATCGGGCACAAAAATACAACGTTGTATTAGTCTGATGAAACAGTCGTTCATATGTGCAGAATGGAAACCCCCGTCTTCCTAATGACCAGCGCCCCCTTTCCCTCCTCCCGTTTTCTTATGCGGAGAGAAAATTGTCTGCTTCTTACGAAGGGACTGTGATGACGTCAGAACGCCGAGCTCTGATTGGCTATCATAGAAAGATAGTGGGTGGTCCTCAAAGCAAACTGCCTCGAGGCCTACCCACCATCCTTTATTTATAACCAATCAGGGCTCGGCGTTCTGACGTCACCACAACCCCTGCAAAGAAGCAGACGAACTTGCGCTCCATTGACCAGCGCGATGTATGCAAACAAGTCAATGCTTTTCCGCACGAGGTGCGCGCACTGCGCGTCCGCAGACACGAGTTTCGCTGGAAGGGAAGTGTTCGCGCGTGCGCCGTGGCCACAGCAGCCCCACCACGGCGGCGTGACGTCAGAACCGGGGTGTTTGTGTATATATGGGGTTACCGAGAACATCAGGCAGATACTACAGGTAGCGTACGTGGCTGTATCAGAACATGCAATTGAAAACAGCTCTGCTTGGTCGTTTCGCCCATAATGACTGCCTCGTTAATAAGGGTGACTGCACCGCCACTTCAGGCGTTTGATTATTTAAAATATAGCACCCCACCTTCTTGCATTCGTTTACCAAATCGGGCATTTCGCTGTTTTACGATCAGCTTTTTCAAAGTACATTAATAGTTTTGAAAAAAATGCTAAAGTTGCCCCGAGTATTTCTAGGTTGGAAGTAGAAGGTGCAGATTCAAAGAACACCGTTTTAAAATGAGAGCGAACGCGTGAGTCACGAATGAAATATGGTCATTAAAGAAAACTTGTAGACAAGGACTGTGTTTTAGACAGCGTTGTTGTTTTGGTCCCTCTATGTATTTCACTAGTCTCAGGTTTCTTATGTATGAATACTCTTGTGTTATTTGAAACTGGAAGTGTTTTAACAACACCTTATTATATTTTCCGAAATATGTGGCTTTTTCTTTCTTTTTTTATTGCGCTGTCAATTTCGTGGGGACACCGTCTGCTTTTCGTCAGAACGAGCGTTCTAATGCGAACGGATTAATAATTGTCTCCGCTTAATGTGGGCAGGGGCAATGAACATAACGTGTCACCTTTTTAATGTTCCTGAAATAATAGTATTGCTGGTTCCTAGTATTTTTGAGTCGGACGGTTTTTTGGTACTGATATAATTACCCCGAACTTAACGCCGCGACGAAATGTTTCGTGTTTTGTGTGTGTGTTATACTTGGGCCTACTGGCTGAGCACTTGTGGGGGAGTGTTGGCCCCCCGATCACAACCCCGCCTGGAAAAGACATTCCAGTCACTGCAGCGACAAATTTAGTTTTGGGCTGACCAAAATAGAACAATCTATGAGGAACTTAGTTGCGGCGTTAGGGTTAAGGAGCACTCTACGCATTGTACCCGCTCGACGCGCTACGCGTTCCATAGATTATTGTGATTGGATCAATCACCGCGCGATCGGTGGGAAAGTAGACCAGCAGGCATTCTTGAGGCGTTTTTTGGACGGTATATTCCAGATTACACAAGAGCTGTGTTATTGTGTACGTTGTTTCTTGTTTAGTGGAGACTTCAAGATGAACAGGAATTCATCTTGAACCAGCTAACGTGCCGCCGTCTGAATAAACACATAGTACAATCGGCCATGGGCCCCGTGCTCACCTCCAATGATGTCCATGGCGCATCTCTGCGTACTCTTGAAGAGACGTATGGGTTCGTCGGGCGCGTTGTCGACGACCGAGCACAAGTGCTTCACCAGCAAATCGCCGTTCTGGTTGAAAATGCGCATGTAGTTGTCCAGGACCCGAAAGTGAAACGCTGGTGTCATCAGCTTCCTCTTGAAACGCCACGCCTCGCCGGTACTGCTCAAGCAAAGAAACAAGAATAGTACATGTTTGTTCGCGGAAAATGTGTCATCTGGAATGTACTTGGGCTCATTTTCTGCTTCTGGACAGTGAAAGTTGATGATACAAAAAACATCTGCTAAGGAAACAGCTTGGACCGGCAGCGTAAGAAATCTGTCAGTCATCCGTCCCTAGAACTGAGTGCAAGCTTAAGAAGGCTTTCGAATGTGCGGCTGAAGAGATGACGAGTAGTTATCAAAATCTTCAGTATGATTCTGATTGAGCTTTGAATTGGCACGCCGAGTGTGGTTGTATGACATCAATATTCATGGTGTTCGCTCTTAATACCAACATATTTTTTGAAGGCGTGAGTCAAATCCGTGCCGTCTTCACCGCGTATTAATTGGGATCGGCGGACATTAAATAAGAGAATAATATTCGGGGTATGACGGCTATTTATCTCAAATTGGTTATTTAACTTTTTAATTATTAATTTGATTGGTCGTGTTTTAGTTGCAGTTGAATTTTAGAGGCTAAAATCATTTAGGAACTTTGCCAAACGCCAAGAGACTTTGAGATGCTCATCGATCAGTTTTCGACTTTTTGTTTTCTCGGGGGCTGTCCACGCAGCATACAAGTCTTTCTCTGACTTTTAGCGGGCACATTGTGGCGCCCGATAGGAATGCACGCAAAGTTGTTCTGGAACATTCTAAAGATCGTTATATCAAAAGCGGATTGTAGGAGCTGTATTTAAATAGAAAATCGCACACAAAGAAACGCCATACGCATGTTTTTAAATGCGAGCCATCGTAGCCACTCTGTGCAAACGCTTGGTGCGTCCTGTGCTCGAAGCCTATCCACTCAGTTACAAAAGAGCGCCCGCGAAGTGGTGCCACCAAAGCATATCGTCCAAAGTCCCTAAATAAGAGCTTCCTAGAAGTAGCGACATTCTTTGAGGCGCCGACTTCGTGACGGTGCAGGTCTTTGGGAAGCGAATGGCGGCGCAGAGCAGAGGTTTGAAGTGAATGCCGCTATTTTGTTCCAGCGGAATGTGCTTTGTCATTTGTATTGGTTGTTTTTACTTGTAAAAAAAATATCAGGGGACATTAATTTCGTCGCCCATGGGGCGCGAAATGGTGCCTGTAAAAAGTCAGAGGAAGTTGGGTTTTGTAAGGGTGTGCGAATACCAGTTCAAATCGAATATCCCTGCGTCATTCATAACCTTCCCAGTGGACGTAAAAGCCACGTCATTCGGTTTTCTTAACAGTGCTGAAGCTAGGGATGAGAACGTGTTATCCGATTCGAACAATATTCGAACATTTCTAGTGTTTTGTATCGGAAATTGGACACAAACATTACCGTGGATGCTTAAACTTCGCCTTCAAGATCGGAACAGGTATGCTGTGCAACGTGTCTGGCTTGCAACCGAAGGGCCGTGGGTTAAAATCTCTTTTAAAATACCTCAACTTGTTACTTTAAAGCAAATCAATTACTCTGCAAATTGAAATCGTTTGAGACGTTTCGATACGTTTATTTTGGATTATATGCCACATGTTTTAGTCACTTTCATTACACGCGTGACGTCACGTTTCGCGTGAGCATTGTGGGTTGTTCGAAATTCCCGCGCGAGGTCATGTACTGTGACGTCATGACCCTATCGGCCAATCAGAATTTTCTCGTCCCACCTCCGTCGACACCGACGCCGACGTCGGAATTTCTGCGACATGAGTTCCTTAACGCTCTGGCGTTAAACGAGTGAAGGAATATCTGTCATAAGCGATGCGTAGAAGTGAGACGTGGTGGTTTTGCGCTCCTTGCCATGATCTCGGCAGCACCATCTTGGCGGATGGGCCGACCTCCGAAAAAGAGTGCCGAGATTGTGTAAGAAAGCGTGCCAAAAGGGGGGCACGTCGCTCTTTCTGGCATTCGTTATGGACGGGACTTTGTGCGATTTTTTTTAGGGCAGTTTCGAAATTGACGAAAACCGCAAAAGCTGATCGTTGAATACGTGAAATTCAATTATATTCAGTCGAATCGTTTAAATCACTTAGCCTCTAATATTGTATGCCTTGAAGCATACAATTGCGGCATTCCTGATTAAAACATAAAGTAAGGAGTCATTCGACAGATTTCACTTAATTCACCAACTTAGCGTGGCGGCATCTGTGTAATATTAAACGCCACTCATGCGTCCACAGCCCCAAATGTTGGCAAATTTTCCCCGAGTGCATAATCTCTAAAATGCCGCGCTCCTTTACTGCTTTATAGCAAGAATAATAACTTCTGCTATTCTACTTGCCTTCTTTTTTTTTTTTTTTTTTTATAGAAAGAACGAATTGTCCTTTGGGAAGACATCTTCTACCCGGCCTTTTGACGTTGCCTGGACTCGGAAATAAAATACTACTACGATCAGCGCTGGAAAACCTGAATCCGTTACGGTAAATTACCACCTTAGTGGTTAGTCACTATTTGTTTTTATTGAACTCGGTTCTAAAGATGGGCATGATGTGATTTGAAACTGAAATGGTTCAAAACCTTAAAAACTAAAAAAAGCACGGAAAGCATTTTGAAACATCACGCCTGTTTGCTGTGTTCATCTTTCTTTGTCCCCTTGTCCCGTCGCATTGGTTTGAGGCAACCCGCTACCGGGCGAGCTGAACGGGTCTCTTTCTTTACCTTTCACAAAATAGAGTTATACCAGTACACAAACAAGCGCCCGTGACACAGAAAAGAATGCCTCATTACATATCCTTTTTTGTATGATAAGATTTCCCGTGCAGACCGTGTATTAGCGCTGAGGCTATCGTGGCCAACTTTCGGGGACATTGCGTGGAATAAAAAGCTTTCAAGGAAATATCAAAATTCTGATCAATTTGCATTCTATGATACCCAGGCAATTACAGTCCTCGGGAACATTACGACCATTTGTCAAGAAAAGCAGAAATGTAGAAGTTTGTGAATGTTGCCCATAGGATTCAATGCCAAAATCTATACGCGTCTCAAAATTTCATTACTGCGTATTAATATTTTATGACGGTCATTTTAAAGATTCCCGGGATATTACGATGCTTGCTGTTGTTCAGTTGAAATTCTCATCTTAGTACGAGGGTTGTCGTAAAATAAGGTTCCCAAGGAGCTGCAGTCACGAGGAACGCTGTTACGCGGAATGCTGCGACATTGGCGTGTAGGTTGGTCCACCCTCTCCCAGTCCCCGCCCCGGGGAGCTGTCTCCGATGCTCAGTCTTGGCTTGGCAGCCGTTAGAGATGGAGCTCCCACTCGCTTCTCCCACCAGGTGCGAATTACGCTCTGTGATTCGTTTCTTGTGTGCAAAAAACACTGCGCCGGTGCACATTCATTCCCAACTGTGTGAAGTTTACGGAGAAGAGTGTATGAGCATACAGCACGTGCGCAAATGGTGCAGAGAATTCAAGGACGGACGTATAGACGTCCATGACGAACAGCGTTTTGGACGGCCATCGGTTTCGGACGAAACGATTACAAAAGGGGAAGAAACAATGCTGAAAGATCAAAGGGTGACGGTTCGGGAGCTCTGCGAGATGATTCCTGATGTCAGCAAGACCTGCATTGGCAAAAGTTTGGCAGACCATTTAGGGTATGCTAAGGTTTGTGCAAGGTGGGTCCCGAAAATGCTCACGGAAGACCACTAACGGCAGCGTGTTGAAGAGGCCCGCGAATTTTTTCAGGCCTACGAAACCAGTGGCGAGGAATTCTTGGAATCTATTGTCACTGGGGACGAGACCCGGGTCCACCAAACCACACCGGAAACGAAACAACCATCCCGTCAGTGGAAACATCCAGAGTCGCCGAAGCCGCGAAAGTTCAAACATACACTGTCTGCCGGCAAGGTGATGGCTAGCGTCTTTTGGGACAGGGAGGGGATATTGTTTTGCGAATTCATGCCTGCCGGTACAACAATCAATGCGGGCAGCTACTGTGAGACGACGAACAACCTTCACCACGTGATTCCAAACAAGAGGAGAGGCACGCTCACGAAGGGAGTGCGTTTTCATCAGGACAACGCTCGTCCGCACATCGCCCGTGTAACAAACGATCTCATCAAGGAATTTGGATTGGATACTGTCACACATCCGCCCTACAGCCCAGACATAGCCCAAGGTGACTACCATTTCTTCCCTGAATTAAAGAAACTCCTGGGAGGGACGCATTTCAGAACTGGGGAGGAGCTGAGAGAAGAGGTTTTAAGCTGCCTTTACGGTGCGGCGGGAGAGTTCTATGATTCAGGCATAAAGAAGATAGTACACCGCATGCAAAACTGCATTGATCTCAACGGCGATTATGTCGAAAAATAGGGGAATGTCTAAGCTTTCCAAAAATGTATTACTCAATGCCAATAAACATGTTTTTTTTATTGGGAAAATATCAATGGGAACCTTATTTTACGGACAACGCTCGTACATGCGTCGCAACGTTGATGTCTAAGAGAGTCTGGAACGTTTTTGTCCCGATGAACTGGAAACTGAACATTGAACGCCGCATCATACCCGGCGAGTTTTGCACTAAGTGCGGCTTCCAATGTTTATATTACCATGTCTTTTATTTGAGAGAAACACATTGATATCCAAGACTTTCTCGTGCATGTGAATTTACGGATCTCGTTTCAGTTAAACGTGACTGTCGTCTTACTCACGCCACCAGAATGTTGAGTGGTCCCAACCATGGCGTGATGAAATCATACAGGAACGGCTTTTTGTGGTTGACGCTGCTTGTCAGTAGGGCCTGTGAAATGATAAAGATTAATATTACAATGAATTGAACTGTCACACTTAAGAGTGCTGTAGTCGGTGACAGGTTTTAGAGTTCAGAAAATATTCATTCTCCAGTTTGAGTTTTTTGCCTTTGATAACACTTGGGGGCACGCGCAGCCAAAGCCCAGTGGAAGGCTATGGGCGCGTGCAAGAGGCGACGTTTATGCTGAATACTTAGCCTTTCACCGACTATGCTTAAAAAAAATCTTTCTGTTTTACCTCTACTGCATCAGGGGTTTGTAGAACGACGATGGGAGTCATGCCAACGTATACCTTGAAGAGTCTACCCGTGTACTGCTGGCACATGGAGCAAATTTTGCTGAATATCCCTAAGTAAAAAGAGCATACGCATACACTAAGGTAACTATGACAAATATAAGACGCTATTCTGTTTGATATTTGCCCAGAATATTGTGTCTACTGCACGATCCCCCAAAAAGTATGCATCGCATGAAAAAAAAAAAAATAGAAAACTTAATGTCGCATCGGTCTTTGTCGAAGAACGTATTCTAGAAAACAAATGACGTTCGGTTTAATTCGTTTACTAACTACTTTCGAGTCATTCTCTTCTAATTAGTAAGTTTATAAGTAAAGGGGGTATTCACTGGGCGCCATATTTGAAAAAGTTGTATTCAGCGCATGCTCGGACGAGCTCAGATTAATAGGGTGCTAAGACCAGCAATCTTGAAAGTGTGGATTGCACTTTAGAAACTAAATGTGGTAGCTCACCATTATTACGTGCTCAGTAATCGCGCACATATTTATAATCGCCAGTAAATACTCCCTATACACCTTTTCCACATTGGGCGCAGCTATCTCAAATGTCGTCACTTCTGGTATGCGGTAAAACATCGTTCTGATCTCTCCACGCCGCTGCAAGGTGTTTACGAAAACTGCGCGGTTGTCACACATTCTTGTTTTGCTTCCCTATATTTTTTGTTGCATATTCTAGCTTGAAATGTTTTATCATTTTTTCGCCCCGCATACCAGATACGAAACTCACGTGACTGAGAACAACAGGAAACAGAAAACATCTATAGTTTCAATTAGAAACGTTGCGAACATCATCAAAAACTTCTAGCACAGCGACCTTTATAGAAGTAGTACAAGGCAGGCGCAACATTTTACGGCGTTCGGTTTCCAATCAGAACGCATCTCTACGACAGCAGTCCTGCTCCTCTTTGCCAAAGCGCACAACCACCGCCTCGCCTCCATCGAAAAAAAACGAAAGACGTGACGATCACTGCAAATTAATCGCTGTGCTGCTCGGGTGACATTGCAAGGGCCCGCTTTGGCCCTTGTATTCACCTTCGAGTCGTACGAAGATTATTTGGCAGCACATGGTTGTTGCGCACTTTAAACACTGGAGCCGGAACGGCTGGCGCGAACATGTGCTACGATAGAAACCCGAGACCTAATGCGCATTTAAAGTAAGCGCGTTTTTTGTTTTGTTTTTTAACGCCGTAAAATTTTGTTTGTATTCTACGTCTTTTTGAAGTGAGTTGATCTTGTGCTTTTTGACGATGCCTAGCAATTTTCTAACTGAAGGTATAGCCACCACTTCACTCATTAAAGTTATGCGGAGCGCAAGTTCGTCTGCTTCATGCGCAGGGGGTAGCAGTGACGTCAGAACGCCGAGCCCTGATTGGCTGATCGCGACCCCCCATCTGAGCGTCGTCTGCTCCTTTGCAACGCCGTCTGCTCGCAACGTCGTCAGCGGCCGTGTTCCAAAACTTACTCGGTCTTACTCCACGGCAGGGATGGGCAAAATACAGGCAAATATGTGTCGAAATACAAATACAAAATACTTCGTCAAAAACGTATTTAATTATAAATCTAATTACATTTCCAAAAAAGCATTTAAGTACAAGATACAAATACCCCCAAATGTATTTGGTCTCCTACAAATACTTTTCCAAATACATTCCTCAAAATTTGCGTCAGCGACTTCAGGGCACCTGCAACGGGTTTCTGGGTATCTCATTTTAATTTTGCATCGCACACTCGGGAGTTAGTGTGCTAGGCTCTAGTAACGTAATAAAAATATAATCACAAAACAAATGTAATCAGCTTGGACGTAATAGGTGAAAGAAGTACAGAGCTTCGAGCAGCTTTTTTTGTCGATTACATTTTGGTATAGACCAACGAAGAACCGAGACGACCAAGACGCGCAGCACTAGCTAGAGGATTTTTTATTGTTGCAATTGGCACCAGTTACAAACATCTGGACGACCCGCGCATTTAGAATGTTCCAGGCAAAAATATGGATGGAAATCAGGCTGGAAAACATCACAAGTTGTCACACGCACTTATTTAGCCAGTCTGCCTGTGAAAGTCGATTTCGTCACTATTCTTGCCCTGGACTAGCACCGTAATCACAAAATCACTAAACGCTTATGCTTGATTGAGAGACACTGCATTCAGTGCAGAACGTAGTTTTCTTCCTGCTCTGGACAGTGACAATAAATTTGAGGGATGTATTTTCGACCACAAAATTGTATTTAATTACAATTGTATTTTAAATACCCACATTTTAGTATTTAAATACACAGTCAAATACATTACCCAATTTGTAATTAAATACAAATGCAAAATGCACAAAGTATTTGAAATACGTATTTCAAATACTTGTATTTGAAATACTGCTCATCCCTGCTCCAGGGTAAGGGTTTTCTACCTTGGCGTTCCAAAACCTACCCGCGTCCAGCGTTCTTCAATCTGTGTTGTCACGTGACACGACCCGCCGGAGTAACTCGGATTCATTTGGGTAAGATTTAGAACACAGCTAGCGTCTGTCTTACCTTTCCTGCGACTTTCGGAAGTGCAGGTCTCTACGAGCGAGCTCGACTTCGCCTTTCAGAAAGGGCAGACAAAATAATTCGAGCGGTACGTTGTAATGGACCTTTTCCACATACCCACGGCACCAGGCGGTGGCTGCACGAACTAAAAATCCAGGAAGTGGCCTACCTGCGCTAGCAATCGATAATGGGAGCTACGCTACCAGTTTCTTCGCTCTCTAAGCTGCGGCGCGTGCCCAACGCTGCCCAACGCGACTTTAAAGAGGGGAAAGAAAAACGCGACGCAAACGACGTGTTTTTCTTTCCGTCCACTTTCTTTTTTTGTGTAACACAATTATATATATGCTGCAATTACGTGTTCTACTCGCTGATCAACAGCTTCCTTCCGAATTTCCTCGATTTTTCGTACCGATTTCCGCCGCTTGGCATCGGGCGCTCGCGCGTGCGCAGAACGCTTCTCGGAAGAGGTCCATTGTCTAACAACTAGCAGACGCGCATCAAGGAGAGAAGTCAAAGGTCTCACTGGCGAGGCGCCCTGACGCGCAGAGGTTTGTCTGCTAAGAACCGAGAGTGAGGGTGGCTACACTCTAAAAAATGCCTGTCCGTCCGCTTTCCCGCACAACACTCGGAGAGCCAATCAGCGCAACTTACGGAGGCAGCTCAGCGAATAACGATGCCGAAACATCTGTTTAGACCAAAAAACGGAGTCTGAGTTGTGACATTAAGCAATGCAAGCGTGACGTTTTGCATTGCTTAATGTCACAACTCAGACTGCGTTTTTTGGTCTAAACATATGTTTCGGCATCGTCATTCGCTGAACTGCCTCCGTAGGTTGCGGTGATTGGCTCTCCAAGTGCTGTGTGGGAAAGCGGACGGACAGGCATTTTTTAGAGTGTAGTGTCCGCAAGTTTCCTCCTAAATACTTTTTCCCTCCTTTCGTCTGCGGCGAGACTCCTCACGCTTTAATGGCGTCGGTGGTTTGGCGAGGTTGGCGCAGTTAACGCCGTCTGCTTTACGTCTGCTAGTCAAAGCGATGGCTGCTTTACCTTTCCTACGTCTGTCGGAGATTCACCATTTTTTCACCCTTTCGCCTTTTTTGAAGGCCGCGTTCTCGCCGGTGAAAAAACGGTGAATCTCCGACAGACGCAGGAAAGGTAAAGCAGCCATCGCTTTGACTAGCAGACGTAAAGCAGACGACGTTAACTGCGCCAACCGCGCCAACTCGACGACGCCGTTAATGAGTGAGGAGTCTCGCCGCACCGGGAAAAAGTATTTGGAAGGAAACTTGCGGGCTCTAGCCACCCTCACCCCTCGGTTCTTAGCAAACAAACCTCGGCGCCTCGGGACACCTCGCCAGTGAGTCCTTTGACTTCTCTCCTTGGTGCGCGTCTGCTAGTTGTTAGACAAAAACAACGTACCGCTCGAGTTATTTCGTCTGCCCTCTCTGAAAAGCGAAGTCGAGCTCGCTCGTAAAGACCTGCACTTCCGAAAGTCGCAGGAAGGGTAAGACAGACGCAGACGACGTTGCAAAGGAGCAGACGACGCTCAGATAGGGGGTCGCGATCAGCCAATCAGGGCTCGGCGTTCTGACGTCACCGCTACCCCCTACTCAAGGAGCAAACGAACTTGCCCTCTGCATTCACTCAAAACTAATAAGGAGACCAATTGTTTAACTTCATTAATTTGACAACACAAAGCTCCTAAACAAAAAAGCAATTACCTTCAACTTTTTTTAGCACGATTTCAAGTAACTTGAAAACAAAAAGCTCCTAAACAAAACCCAATTACCTTCAACTTTTGGCACGATCCGAAGTTTCGGCTAGGATCTATGGCCTTGTGTTTTAGCGCACCGCAGCTCGAAGCGCGAGGAGTGAAAGCTCGAGCTGCATAATTCATCATTACCATCGCAACTTTTAATATACTAGAAGTGAAAGGACTTCGCGGTCTCTGGTCGGTGCTCTTAGTCCAGAACTCCACTGACCGCCCAAATTCGGTGGGCTCGCTCAACCAGCCGCTGCAGGTCATCGAGCTCTATCCCAGGTTTAATCCCCACCTCTGCCCGTTTTGATTTGAATGAGACCGACGTGTGATCGTGTGCCACTACTGCGTGGTGTACGGTTGTACTGCAGTGGCTAAATTTCTCACCTACAACTGAGACACCACACACCTGAGACACCCATTGGGGCTGACTAACTTCCTGCTGTATAAACACACAGAACGTATTTAACCATTTAGACAGCGTTCCTTGAAACACGATGTATATGAAAGTGTTTTGACCTATATTCTTTCTGAACATTAAACATGTGACAAGTAAATTGCTTCCAAACGGGGCTATCATTTAAGTAAATTACACTTACGTAGGAGTTTAATAATTTACGAATACATGAAGCCGGGCCGAAAGAATACTACCTGTGACACGTGGTTAGGAATATGAGTTTTGCCTCGCACTTTCACTCTGCGGGCGCCCTGCTGTGAGGGCGCATTCCAAAACATATATGTTGCACCTGCAGGTACGCTTAGCTCATGTTCACTTTATTAAAAAACGAAAAATAGGTGATTTAATGAAAATTCGTGTACTGATATACTTTTAAGTAAATAGGAAAAAACGTTTGCGCTAAGGCATCAATAGTATAAATTTTCCTTCGTTGTATGCTACTTAAAATGTTTATTTCATAAAAAAAAAAGAACAGAGCGTGTATTTTTTTTTGACACGACATAATGCGACTTTTTTTAAAGAAGCTTTCTCTAGAATTTGATTTGACAAGATCCTGTGTGCTCGCGCAGCAATAACAACACAAACACACACGCCAACACACACACACACACACAGGAACAAGCGCGCACACGCGCATGCACGCATACGCAAGAAAAACGTATGAAAGAAAATAAACAACAACGCGCAGACACGCTACTACAACAAGCTATTACTCACATGCTGTGGCGTGCTTGTTGGCTTTTTTCTCTTGTATGACAGACTTGAAGCAGCCCAAGATAAACCAAAAGGGCACGGCGTCCCACGGCCCCGGTAGGGGCCTCAGAGCCTTCCACACTCGGAACCACTGAACGATCGGAACAAAAAATCCGGCGCACAAAAGTAGTCCTAAAATCCATGTCACGTTTCCGACGAACAGCGAGACGAAGTATGAAGATGTCGGCAGCACGTGTACACCCATCCTGTGGCCGCCGAATCGGGCAGTCCGGCTTCGTACCTCAAGCAGTTCCGTCCAGAAGGCAAAACACACCGAGTGCCTCCAACGATTGCACCTTCTTTAACCTAACTACACGCAGTTTTAAATAAGCGGTGACACGAGTGCGTGCGAAATAGAGTCTGAAGTAAAAGGCTTTTCCCGGACACGCTTAGCGGTTCTTCGACCGAGAACAAAAGGTTCATTGCCGCTTCTGTTCAACGCATTCCGCGAATTACCTCGCGCCGTTGGAAATTACCGGGTCGAATTATGAAAATTCCCCGTCGGATTGCGAGCGACGTCACGTTGTGTTGCTTTCCTCCGTCTCACACTCGTTTGAATACCTACACTATTTGTCAGGCAACCATACATTAATTCAGGCACGTAGCCAGGATTTTGTTTCGGGGGGGGGGGGGGGGGGGGGGGGGGGGGCCCGCCCATGACAAAATGCTGTATGAGGGGGAGGGGGAGAGGAGGTCCCAGCAAAATCGAAGATTTCGGGGGGGGGGGGGGGGCGGACCCCATGGGCCGCCCCCCTGGCTACGTGTCTGCATTAATTACTACCTGCGTGCGCAGCAGGTCAAGTAAGCGCCCCCGTGGCCGAATGGTTATCGTGTTTGGCTCCCACTCAAAGATCCGAAGTTCCATGACTAGTCGCGGAGGCACCTTTTTGTTATTTTTCTGATTGTCGCGTTCTGGTGAATTCGAGAACTTTGTTGCTTGTTCGAAGTCAGAACGTTCTACGCGCCGAATCGTCTACGCCGATTGTTCCAGAAGCCCACGCGTGCACAAAAGGGGCTCCGCGTGGCGATCCGGGTTCAGTCTCGCCCCAGGGTCATTACATGCCAAAGGAGACGGCAATTTTCGTCAAATTTTTAATATGCTTGAAAAAAATAATATGAATGACGGCAATTTTCGTCATATTTTGGATATGCTTGAAAAAAATAATATGAATAAAGACACATTTCAAAGTAAGGATGGCTAATTTTGACGGCTGAATTATGTTTATTTTTGCTGACGTCATGCTCCAAAGTGCAGAGAGTTTGAGAAAACCTCCTGTACTTCAAAATATTTCTGAAAAAAAAGCTATTCTTACCACATAATTTTACGTTTGCATGCAATCGAGCATAAATATATTCTATCTTACCCTGAAAAGAAAACACCTTACGCCGCCATTTTGTGTCCAGACAGGCACTCCAAACCGAGGCAAATTTTTAGTATTTCTTGACTTTTTTTTTGGTGAACTTGAAATTAAAATTTGACTAAGGAACTTCTTTACTTATTTTTATAAACCATATACTCGACTACGTTGCATTACAATAGTAACAAAATTATTCGGACAGTGTTTAATAAAATGGTGAATATGACACTTCCTTCAAAAACGTCTTTATAGAGGGTAAAAAAAAGAAAGCCATTTGGGCAACGGTGCTCGCATTTTCTGAAATAGCCGAAAGTTTAACCGACCCCATCTGTTCAACATATAAAAGAAAATAAAAAAGTACTTTTTGTTATTTTGAAGAAATTATTTTTTTTTAAATATGGGGCAGAACGGCATCACTTCCAGGCGTCCACCTCGTCGGCAACGCACGCCGTCGTCTGCTACGGTCGAGTTAAGCACTGCACGGGGAACTTAATTTCGTTAATTATATTTGTATAGCTAAAGCTGAGGATCTTGACATTATGGCATGCCTATTTATAGTGACTAGAGAGTGCATATTTTTCCCCCATAATTATATGTCCGGGTGCGCTTGCAAGTTGAATAGCGACAACTCGAAGTATTGTTTGGGATAGTTTTTATCAAAGCCGAAACAAAGCACATTTGCAGCTCACCGACGTTTTTGTTTCTTCTTATGTAGATAAATATAAAATATAGTCAAGAAACACTTTATCACATTTAGAATATCAGTTTTTTGTTAGCTTTCAGTTCATGTGATAGGCTAGAACACTGCTCACGTCTGTAACGTCCCCGGTGTAATCCGTCTACTGCGATGTCTTAAATTCGCATGGAAAACTCTTCCTGCACGATGGACGTGGGTGTTATTTTAGCTACCACGCAATAGCACTATTTTGGCACGCTAATTTGAGGCCATAAATTTCACTTTACATGTGCTCAGGTGACGGGAGGCAAAGTCGTCGTCAGCTAACGGAGTTTGTGAATGCAGACGGTTCGTCAGAATTGGTTAGCAGACGGCGCGTCTTCACTGTTTGGTCATACTGCGTTTGCTTGTAAAAGATGAAATAGTGAACGCGGGAGATCGTCAACGATGCCGAGCGATAACGGTGATTTTCTTCCTCTTCAACGAAAAAGTATTGGGGTGCTAATACATAGTACAACTGAAAAACAGAGAGTGAAACATTAAAAGAAGCAGAACACTAAAAGTGGATATTCAGACCAACGGGGGCATTCGAAGGTTATGACACAACAGAAACATGTTGAGTGTTTACCGCTTGCAAAATATATGTCTACCCCATATTAAAGGGATTGTCCGGTCGAAACCGGAAGTACTTAAGTTCTTGCGCTCGTTACGTCGAGGGAGCCTTCATATAGACAAACGTCATTTTTATTTTGATATATGATCTCCCGTTATTAATTAAACCTTTCATGATCCTACGTACGAAACTGCACCCCGAATTTTGCCAGCGTCAATGGCTGACATCCGTAGGTGCTGCGTGACGTCACAAAACGCAAAGGTTTGTCGGATGGTCGGGATAACAAGCATTGGTCGATGAATGTCTTGTATTTTGTTTCGAATTATATAGTCTCCTAGGTGGTACCCTACTGAAATACGGTTCTTTTAATGCAGTTCCCAAGCAGGTGCAAAAAAAATGCACGCCTTTTAGCAGGATATTACTCGCAGACAGCCATAAGCTTCGAGCAAACGTATGCCGTTTCCCGCAAACACAACTGCGACGGACGCTGATTGAACTAGGGGCGCTTGCAAAGCAAAGGATGCAAATTTTGCCTCTGAAGCGGCACTTAGGTACACGAAGCGGCATCTGGGTACACATTTCGGCGGATCCACTGGATCGGTGATGAGGCTGTGGGTCATTCCCTCAGAGGCGACGTCCGCGGGTCGAAGGCAAACGGCGAACCGTTCAAACGCATGTCGTCACTTGACTTGGACGAGTTTGGTGAATCGTAGCTACGCTCCATTTTCACACGCGAGTCAAACAGATATCGGGCTGCACGCGTGCTGAATACAACTTCTGGTATCATTTCGAGATGGCCAAGCTGTTGGTTTCGGTTTGCTGCATAATCAAGGTCTGTTCGATTCGGCCAGGAAGTTCTGAACTATAGTCGGTTAGAAGTCAAGAAGGTAGCGGCAAATGCCCCTCAAAGGGAATCTTTGCATTTCGAAGATAAGTTCGCGGCATCAGGATCATTTCGCGTCGGGGGAGTCACTGGCGGCAGCGCGCGGTCGGTATACCGGTCACCTCGACGATAGCGTCTTGGCCAAGACAATTATGGACCGTAACTTTGGCGTCAAGTTGAAGCGAGAATCGGCAAAAAAAAAAATGCCGATTCTCGGTGTTTTTCCCAGGCCCGTTAGTGGGCGTCCACAGATACCAGCGGACAAGGCATGCAGTATTATGCTCAGCTACGGCGACATGCAAGTGTCAACGCACTAAATCCCAGACCTCTGCAATGTATCGGAGTCGTCAATATGCATCCAAGAGCAACTGAAGGCGGAGACCATCAAGAAGGCAATACCTTTCCCGTGTCTGTAAGTAAGAATATCAACACTGTGGATCCCCGCATAGCATCAAAATGAAACAATTTACGTGAGCGAATATTTCAACACACACAGGGAGCCAAATCTACGCGAGCAGGTGCCTAAAACGCTTTTAGAATATCATAATCAAGCAAATTCCTACCCTCGCTTATGATCTCAATTCCGCGTACGCCGTGGGTACGTTATTATCATAAATGAAAGGAAATGCAACCTCCGTATCGGCGTTCTTGTTAAACATCGCAGACATTTGAGCAATCGCTCCGAAAAATGGCACCGCGAGCAGAGACGGACGAGGAGTTCTGCTATCGCCGTCTTCTCTTGTCGTCTGCTTCTGCACGGACGCCGAACCGAGTCCGGAGCCGGTGCAAGATTTTGAGGAACTGGGTCTGAACTCGTTCAGAACTGGGATGAATCGAACGCGCCAGTGCAGCGGTCGTGCAACTTCCGGTTGAATCGAACGCACCAGTTCCTGCACTGCCGAACTAGTTCAGCCAGTTCAGGCGAATCGAACAGACCTAAATTGGTTGATCCGATTTGGGCGAGGAGTGGGTGGACGTAGTTTAATATCGTTGGCACAGCATCACACCTCAGCTTACAAGCCTTCTGTCCGCTGAGAGCTCAGCTCGTAGCTTTCTTCTGTGAGATGATTGCTGCATAAGCAGGATCTCGATCTGGACGGGAACCCAGTCCCTACGCACGACGGCGATCCACTTTGCTCGTCACTGCACGTCTCGCGGAAAAGTGTGGAACGTCAGGTCTTAGCTCGCATGTGCTGCCCGGTGGTTGTGGCACCCAACCGCGCAACAAAAATCTCACCCAACCACGAAACAAGTCGCGCACAACAACAAAAACGAAGCACGCTCCGGCGTTCACTCGCAGGCAAACAACGAGACAAAAATGCTCGCTTTGTGTTTTGTGACGTCAGAGCTTCAATGTTGCCTACGAAAGCAGCGTTTACGCTAGAATGCGATTGGAGCAGTATAAATTCAATTACTCACGCAGAGGGGCATATAAAATTCGGATATTGCACGTACGATGCTTCTCGAGGCAATAACAATGATATTCAATTGTTTTCTCGAATACAAAATTTGACCGGACAATCCCTTTAAAGAAAGTTCTGTGTTGTGCTCCTATCGAAAACCCCTAAATATGAGTATTCGCTTGCCCTTTCTGGTATATTGATATCTTATCTGAGTGACATGTGTATATAGTATTTCTGGACTATATATTACATTCATGTACATAAGAAAAAAA